GCTCGACCAGACGACTTCCAGCACGCGTTGGTGTGCACGAAGTGGCGTGGCGTGGCATATGGCGTGCAGCGCACCATCCACGTGCCAAGGCAGCGTCGCCTGAATGCTCACCAGCTTCTGCGTCAACTCTCGGCATTCCCAAGTCTCGCGAAGCTCGTCCTTGCCGATGACAGCCTGTTTTCGGTCCACGATCGTTTCCTGTGTGGACTCGCCGATACGCATCCCAAGTTGACCGAGCTTCACATACAGTGGCGGATTAAATTGCCCGGATGTTTAACACTTTGAAACATATCGCTATGCCACACATGTTTCGAAAATAGTAACACTCGGTTTTTTCCTTTCCGTTACAAGGTTTCCGAGTTCTGCTTCAACCGTTTCTTGCTTGGCGCAATTGTGACACAACCTGAAAGTGGGGTTGAAATTTACTCCTCGACAGTCGATGCGGACATTTCCAACCGAGCGGAAGAGTAGATCTATTTTCCCCCGTCACTCAGTGTGTACCTCGTCACGTGGAATAGTTGCTGGCTTAGGAGTTAGTCCGGAAGCGAGCCCACGACCGCATCGCCATGAAGCCGTTAACTGAGCGGAAACGCGCGCGAATCAGAAGCATGTTGCGTGCGGGCCATTCGACTAGGAAAATAGGCAAACTTCTTGGAATAGGCAAGAGCACTGTGCACGATTACAGTTTGAAAGTGGCTGCCGAGACTAGTCTCGAGGAGGTGCGACCTACGATGCCTTCGGCCGGCCGCCCCCGCTTAATCACTACCCGTCTCCAGCGCGGAATAGTACGCGCGATTACAAGCGGCGAGGCGAAAAGCTCTGTAGAAGCGGCAAATATGTTGTTGGAGAAGCACGGTCTCGCCGTAGACTCGAAGACGGTCCGGAACTCATTACGATCCGCGGGGCTGATCGCCGTGCATCAGCCCAAGAAACCCAGGCTCTCACCGAAAAACATCCGAGATCGTCTCGACTTCGCGCGGTCGCATGCCGACTGGACGCTGGAGGACTGGAAGCGGGTGATTTGGTCTGACGAGACAAAGATAAACCGCTACTGCTCCGACGGACGTGCGTACGCCTGGATTCGCGAGGGCACCAGCCTTCGGAGCCATCAAGTCCAACAGACAGTTAAGCATGGGGGCGGTTCTGTGATGGTGTGGGGTTGCATGACGTATGAGGGGGCGGGGTTCATGTGCAAGATAGATGGCAGGATGGATGGGCCGCTGTATCGCAGCATCTTGCAAGATGAGCTCAAACAGACCATCGATTTTTTCAAGCTTTCCCCCTCACAGGTCATTTTTCAGCACGACAATGATCCCAAGCACAGGTCTCGTCTGGTCCAAGATTGGCTTGGGGAGCAGGAGTACGCGGTGCTGGAATGGCCGTCGTGCTCCCCGGACCTTAACCCGATTGAGCACCTGTGGGCATACTTGAAAAGGCAGCTGGGGAAGTACGAAAAGCCGCCAAGGGGAATGCTGGAGCTGTGGGAGAGGGTGCAGGAGGAATGGGAGAAGATACCGGCGGAGGTGTGTGCAAACCTGATCGACAGCCTGCCGAGGAGGATCAAGGCAGTGATTAGGGCAAAGGGACGCTGGACTAGGTACTAGTTTTCCTAGAATCTAGTATGATACCTTTTTTCGGTACAAATTGTCCGGATGTTCTCCTATGCTATGCTTAGGTGTTTAAGGACCATGTGTGGTACTACTTTGGTGTTTGGCAACTCGAGTGAGTGCTGTAACTGAACTTCTCAGCGTGTATGCACACCATACATTAAGGCTTAATGTTTACACCGATGCACTCATCAAATTGCCAAAAAAGGCTGAACATGTGGACAATTTATTCCGCCACTGTAGGAGTCATGACTGAGATGCTCAGGAGTGGCAGAGGGTTCACGGAAGAAGGCATTTCGCGCCTTTTCAACGGTTGCACCGAGTTGGAGGGTCTGCATCTCGTGTGCCCGTCATGCGTTTCAGCCATTCCGCCCTCCATCAGCAACCTCTCTCGCCTGCGAACCCTTCACCTGGCGGCGTACAGCGTGGTGCAGCTGCCCGAGGCCATCACCGCGCTGCAGGCGCTCGAGAGCCTCGTGCTCCGCATGGAGAGCCTGAGAGATCTGCCGCGGGATTTCGGCAATCTGGTTTCCCTCACGTCGTTGCAGCTGGAGCGCATCTACTCGCTGCGTTCACTCCCGGGTTCCGTTCAGCGGCTCACCAATCTGCGCCGTCTATCCATCGACGAGTGCAGCAGGTACTTGTGGATGACACGCTGTGGATGACACGCTGCAGGTACTTGAACCGGTGGCTCCACACGCTTGAACGGCCGAGGAGATCGGCCAGAGATCGGATAACCTTGTCGACCATGTCCAAGTCTGGACAGGCAGATGCGGCGTCCTTCACAGCCAGAGCTTCCTTGCGCACAGTCCATGTAAAAAGATTAGTAAACGAATAAAAGAAAAAAGCGACAACATAACATAACGAGTTTATACCGGTGGGCGATGCAGTGGGACGACACAAGTTGAGGGATGTGCTCGCGGAGCCGCGCCACGAGACCATTCTCGCGCCCAACCATGACGGAAGCGCCATCGGTGCTGATTCCCGCGATGCGGTTGAGTTCGATGCCGGCGCCTTGAAGATGAGTGAGAAGCACGGAGAGCAGGGATGTGGCGTCGCACTTCTCGACGGTGAGCAACAAGAAAAACTCGGTGACGACGCGGCGATGGCGCAGGAACATGAGGTACACTATCAGGTGCTTCCCTCTGGTACGATCAGTGCTCTCGTCGCAACTGATGCCGAGGAACGGGGACGATTGAATGTGCTGCATCTGGGTCCGTTGAAGAAGAGTCGCCAAGCAGTGGACCATTTGTTGAAAGCCGTACCTGCACGCAGAAGAGAGAGTAATTGTTAAAATAATCCAACGGAGAAGACTAATGGAATGTACTCGCCGGTACATACCGAGTGAGGTAAACACCGTAAGACTGGAGCGGAAGGTCCGGGGTGTCCTGCTCAGCCATAAAGCGACATAGCCGAGGAAACATGCTGATGGGAGCATCGACCTTACAGAGAAACTCAACAGTGCGGAGCAGTCGCACGACCCGCCTCCCCTCGACATCCGACGACAAATAGTCGTCCATCGTCTTCTGCCCATCGGCGATGTCGTCGGCAATCTTTAGCTGGGCATCCACAGCTTCCTTGTGTGCAGATGAGTGTTCGTGTATGCGCATGGTCTGTGTCTGCAGGTCTCGGCCACCATCGCCCGAAGAGCTGTACTTGGTGGTCTCCTTGCCAAACGTCATGCACACACTGCACTTGAGAGAAGGGTGGCCGTCTTTTGTTTTGGTCAGCACTAGCCATGGAAAGAAAGGCAGCCATGAAGTTTTGTACTTTGCTTCAGCAACAAGGTATTTCTGCTCTATCAATTCCTTCTTACTCAGCTTTGGCGGTGGCGGTTCAACGACGGCAGGGACTGCACTATGTTGGCGGCGTGGACGGGCGGCGGAGCCTACCTCCGATCATGATTTGAGACTGGGTGTACTTGCCCGTCCGTTGTTTCTTCGCAGACAAAATCGTGGACGCGCAGGGCACGCTGTAGCGGACTGTGGTGGCGGTGACGCAGTTAACGGGCAGAGTCGGGCCTCTGCTGGATGAGGCGACGGCAGGCGGAGGGACATATGGTGGTGGCACGAAGGGCGCGGACGGGGGTGGGTTTAGAGCAGGCTGGGTTTCCTCCGCTGCGGAGGAAACCAGAACAGCAACGACGGGAGGAGAACCTAACGACCGCAGTATGTCTATCGCAGAGCGACGAACCTCTGCAGGCTCGTTACTATGAGGTGGTTCATCGGCGCTGGGCTCATCGTCTTCTTCTGCAGGAGTCCCCGTCATGGCTGTTGACGGGGTTGACAAACGAGAACCTACGTGAGGACGACAACAACGAAACACAAATTGAGGAGTAAGATTTACAAACCCCGTGTAAAAGCCTGAGTGCGCCTGAGAGGAGGGGGAGGGATGAGAGGGACGAAGAAGAAGGGCACCATCAAGCCCGAGGCGCGTGTTTCTTGGTTAACCGTCGTCGTCAGCTTCTGGATGGCAGCCCCTTCCAAACCCGCGCCGCCATGCCAAACATAAGCTGACGTTACGAACGAACCATGTGTTGGCATGGACTGTCGCCAATCACGGTCGGTCGGAAAGTTTTGCACATGCCAGCGAGGGCAAGAATCCCGCGTTACCAGCCTTTGATGGCTTCCAACACACCCACGTAGAGGTCGCACGCGTGGCAGGAAGCATGACGCGCTGAGCGGCAAAGTCCCTGTTGAGGCAGCATCACAGTCACAGAAGCGGCGGGAATCCTGCCAAGTGCAGATACTTCACGTGAGACGTGCGGGGGTGAAATGATGGAAGGCAACATATGACGTAGTAGAGGAAATCTCGTGGAAAGTACAAGGTGCATGGATGTCGCATTCAGAGTCCATACGCGATGTACTCTGAAACCTCAGTATCCGCACAACGACTACTCTGAAAAGTTCAGGATCCAAAATCTTACAAGTCTGAAGGGTTCAGTATCCAGAAAAGCCTAAGTCTGAAAAATCAGGATTGGCAAAAAAATGGGTCTGAAATTTCAGACAATCAGACTAAAATAGTCTGATAAAATCAGCCCTGGCGGCTAGGACACCAGCTAGGGCTAGGGCCAGGGTTACGGGCAGAAGCGTAAGCGGGGAGGGGAACCTAGCGTGATACCATCTCAGAATAACGCATTGACTAGAATGAGGCATACAGGCACGTATTTCTCCAATGGTGCTGTATTATCTGTAAGCATGCACCTATCTAGCCTATAACAATATATAAAAGATGTTGACATCCCGTGTATACATCCAACCGTTACCTTCAACTCCCATCTTCCCTGCCCCTCTCCTCCTTTCCTCGCTTTCCCCTGCTCACTTTCTCCCCGTCCACATTGTCCCTAACCACCCCTTCCACCTCAAATACACAGCCCTCTCCCAGCGCCAGCATTTCCATCTCCTCCCCATCCGCTCCCTCATTCGACGTCCTCCGCGTACGTCCTCCCAAATATCAGCTGGTATCCGCTTGTTATCAGAGGGCAGGCGCTGATCTTGCATCTCTGCAGCATCGGCATGTCACGGAGAGAGGCCGGCATCTGAGCCAGCTGCGCACAGTCGTGCACTTGCACACGCTTGAGCCGGCGCAGCTGCGTGAAAGAATCGGGCAGGCTGCGAAGATTGGGCAGCTCAGACAGATCGAGGCTTTGGAGTGAGGAGAGATTGCCAAAGCCCTCTGGAAGGAAAGACAACTGCAGACTGTCATTGAGGGCACAGTGCTGCAGCCTGCACAGACTAGAGAACGATTCTGGAAGGGTGGTTAGCTTTGAGCAGCCTGTGATGGACAGAAAGTCGAGCTTCTTCAGCTGCCCAAGTGACTCGGGCAGCATACGTAAACATTCCAGTTCAGCAAGATTGATGGAAGTAAGCCCGGAGAGTTGTCCAAGTGCTTCTGGCAGTGCTTCCAAACTCTTGGCGTCGCGGATGTGAAGTGATTGCAGATTCGACAGTCGCGAGATGGAATCAGGGAGAGACAGCAGAGCAGGCATCTCCCACAGGGACAGCTCGGTCAGCGAGGAGATACAACCCACGGCCGGGTCGAGCGCTTCTGAAGCAACACCCTGAATGCAAAGCCTGCGCAGCGATGGGAGCACCGCAGCACCAACATTCCCAAAACTGTTATTGCTGTGGCCGACCAAGGTGTGCCTGGCGTTGCTCCTGCCCAGTCTCTTGCAATTCCGCACCTCCAGCTCCTGCAGTTGAGGCAGCTCAAGCAGTGACCCAGGTAAACTCTCCAAACCGCCCAGATCTGAGAGCTTGAGCTTCTCCAGCATTTCCAACCGTCCGATCTCCTCAGGCAGCGCTTCCAACTCATTCCAGTGCAACAGTGCTAGGCTGGTGAGCGTGGGCGCCAGTCGGGAGAGAGAAGCAGGGAGGGAAGACAAGTGTGGCATGCCATCCAAAGAGAGTTCCCTGAGCTTCACAAAGCAGCTGAAGCCCTCTGGCAGGCAGCCTCTCCAGCACTCAAGCCCACGGATGTCCACTTGCTCCAGCGACGAGAGCCGGAAGAAGGACGAAGGGAGGTGCGTGAGGCCTTCACACTCCAGAGCAAGCTCGCGCAGGCGGTGTAAGCCATCCCCCAGGCCATCCGGGAGAGCAGCCAGCCACCGACAGGAGGTTATTTTCAACCGTTGGAGGGACGACAGCAGGGTGAGCGAGTCAGGCAGCCTCTCCAGCCCCCAGCAGTAATGAATCTCCAGCTCCCGCAGTTTCGTGCCACATCCCTGCTCTCCGTGCTTCTCACTCATCTTCAAGGCGCCGGCATCGAACTCAACCGCATCGCGGGAATCAGCACCGATGGCGCTTCCGTCATGGTTGGGCGCGAGAATGGTCTCGTGGCGCGGCTCCGCGAGCACATCCCTCAACTTGTGTCGTCCCACTGCATCGCCCACCGGTATAAACTCGTTATGTTATGTTGTCGCTTTTTTCTTTTATTCGTTTACTAATCTTTTTACATGGACTGTGCGCAAGGAAGCTCTGGCTGTGAAGGACGCCGCATCTGCCTGTCCAGACTTGGACATGGTCGACAAGGTTATCCGATCTCTGGCCGATCTCCTCGGCCGTTCAAGCGTGTGGAGCCACCGGTTCAAGTACCTGCAGCGTGTCATCCACAGCGTGTCATCCACAAGTACCTGCTGCACTCGTCGATGGATAGACGGCGCAGATTGGTGAGCCGCTGAACGGAACCCGGGAGTGAACGCAGCGAGTAGATGCGCTCCAGCTGCAACGACGTGAGGGAAACCAGATTGCCGAAATCCCGCGGCAGATCTCTCAGGCTCTCCATGCGGAGCACGAGGCTCTCGAGCGCCTGCAGCGCGGTGATGGCCTCGGGCAGCTGCACCACGCTGTACGCCGCCAGGTGAAGGGTTCGCAGGCGAGAGAGGTTGCTGATGGAGGGCGGAATGGCTGAAACGCATGACGGGCACACGAGATGCAGACCCTCCAACTCGGTGCAACCGTTGAAAAGGCGCGAAATGCCTTCTTCCGTGAACCCTCTGCCACTCCTGAGCATCTCAGTCATGACTCCTACAGTGGCGGAATAAATTGTCCACATGTTCAGCCTTTTTTGGCAATTTGATGAGTGCATCGGTGTAAACATTAAGCCTTAATGTATGGTGTGCATACACGCTGAGAAGTTCAGTTACAGCACTCACTCGAGTTGCCAAACACCAAAGTAGTACCACACATGGTCCTTAAACACCTAAGCATAGCATAGGAGAACATCCGGACAATTTGTACCGAAAAAAGGTATCATACTAGATTCTAGGAAAACTAGTACCTAGTCCAGCGTCCCTTTGCCCTAATCACTGCCTTGATCCTCCTCGGCAGGCTGTCGATCAGGTTTGCACACACCTCCGCCGGTATCTTCTCCCATTCCTCCTGCACCCTCTCCCACAGCTCCAGCATTCCCCTTGGCGGCTTTTCGTACTTCCCCAGCTGCCTTTTCAAGTATGCCCACAGGTGCTCAATCGGGTTAAGGTCCGGGGAGCACGACGGCCATTCCAGCACCGCGTACTCCTGCTCCCCAAGCCAATCTTGGACCAGACGAGACCTGTGCTTGGGATCATTGTCGTGCTGAAAAATGACCTGTGAGGGGGAAAGCTTGAAAAAATCGATGGTCTGTTTGAGCTCATCTTGCAAGATGCTGCGATACAGCGGCCCATCCATCCTGCCATCTATCTTGCACATGAACCCCGCCCCCTCATACGTCATGCAACCCCACACCATCACAGAACCGCCCCCATGCTTAACTGTCTGTTGGACTTGATGGCTCCGAAGGCTGGTGCCCTCGCGAATCCAGGCGTACGCACGTCCGTCGGAGCAGTAGCGGTTTATCTTTGTCTCGTCAGACCAAATCACCCGCTTCCAGTCCTCCAGCGTCCAGTCGGCATGCGACCGCGCGAAGTCGAGACGATCTCGGATGTTTTTCGGTGAGAGCCTGGGTTTCTTGGGCTGATGCACGGCGATCAGCCCCGCGGATCGTAATGAGTTCCGGACCGTCTTCGAGTCTACGGCGAGACCGTGCTTCTCCAACAACATATTTGCCGCTTCTACAGAGCTTTTCGCCTCGCCGCTTGTAATCGCGCGTACTATTCCGCGCTGGAGACGGGTAGTGATTAAGCGGGGGCGGCCGGCCGAAGGCATCGTAGGTCGCACCTCCTCGAGACTAGTCTCGGCAGCCACTTTCAAACTGTAATCGTGCACAGTGCTCTTGCCTATTCCAAGAAGTTTGCCTATTTTCCTAGTCGAATGGCCCGCACGCAACATGCTTCTGATTCGCGCGCGTTTCCGCTCAGTTAACGGCTTCATGGCGATGCGGTCGTGGGCTCGCTTCCGGACTAACTCCTAAGCCAGCAACTATTCCACGTGACGAGGTACACACTGAGTGACGGGGGAAAATAGATCTACTCTTCCGCTCGGTTGGAAATGTCCGCATCGACTGTCGAGGAGTAAATTTCAACCCCACTTTCAGGTTGTGTCACAATTGCGCCAAGCAAGAAACGGTTGAAGCAGAACTCGGAAACCTTGTAACGGAAAGGAAAAAACCGAGTGTTACTATTTTCGAAACATGTGTGGCATAGCGATATGTTTCAAAGTGTTAAACATCCGGGCAATTTAATCCGCCACTGTATGTGAAGCTCGGTCAACTTGGGATGCGTATCGGCGAGTCCACACAGGAAACGATCGTGGACCGAAAACAGGCTGTCATCGGCAAGGACGAGCTTCGCGAGACTTGGGAATGCCGAGAGTTGACGCAGAAGCTGGTGAGCATTCAGGCGACGCTGCCTTGGCACGTGGATGGTGCGCTGCACGCCATATGCCACGCCACGCCACTTCGTGCACACCAACGCGTGCTGGAAGTCGTCTGGTCGAGCAGCTAAATGGAGGATCTTGGCGAGCGGATCGTCTAATAGCCGTTGGATCGGAGGCTCGTCGGACATTGTGAGGGAGCTAAGGCGATGCGAAAGCGCAGGTGGTGACTCCATCTGGCATATGATGAAGTTGCACGGAGATCCGCCAACAAATCCCGCTAATTCCGAACAAACGTATCCTCTAGATCAAGAGCGAAACCGGCTACGAAAGACAGGTGGTGCAAGGAGCTTGAGGAACGAAGGTGGCAAGCACTAGTAGCATAGCGCCGATTGCAATGGCTGGACTAACGTCCTGGACGAATGGACGAACTGCGCGACTAGAGAGAAATGAGAGGTGAAAGCTGGATTTTGGATGGGTGGAAGGAAAGGTGGGAGAAATGTGAAGTCAAGGGCGTGGTAGCGAAGTTTGAAACGCCTGCATATGAAGGTAAGAACAGTGATGGCAGAACACAAGACAAAAGAAGGCAGCGGTGTAGGGAGGAAGCGTAAAGAATCTTTCTTCCTCGACAGCAATGCAAAGGATATGACATGCAGTGGGGGTTTCCAATCGATATGTATGGACAAACCCCCGTACCTCACCAACCAAACCTCCGTAGAGGCTCGTGTGGAGCACGCGGAATATCACGACTGAAGGAATTGGTGAGGGTACAGGGGTTTATCCATATTGATTGAAAAAACCCAGATGTTTTTGCTCTAATGAAGCGCAAGGAGCGTGTGTCGAATCATTGAGTAGCAAGGAAACAATACAATGAGGCAACATCAAAACAAGAGAGTATGGATATAGCTAGGCCTAGAGCACACGGTCGATGCTCGGCTGAGCTGAGACGTGTGGTTTGTAAATTGGCACGAAGCGCCCAAATCTTGTTGAAGTGTACTCGGTAGAGTTACCATTTATGCATTCTTCATATTACACTTAGACTGTACTAGTAGCGCGATACCTCATATGGAAGGACGCCCGTGATGACGTCGGCAGTAGCGAGTCAACGTGTGAACAGTAGGTTCGCGCGTATAGTCACCCGAAGGGTCACACCACTATCAGTCATACGAAAAATCACTAGTCATATCACACGAATAGTCGCAATTGTTAAACAAACTAAGATAGGATAGAAGCCATGGAAATTGCGTTAGGTTTGTTGGAAATACCTCGAAGACTTAAGCGTTTCTGAAGTGTAACACTACATTCGCGGAAAGTCGTATCGGGTACGCGAGTCAACGGAGGTTACACGAGGAGGTTGGACGAAAGAATACGAAAGGGCGAAGGGACTCGAAGGGTCGCAACCGGAGGTTGCGATTGACCGTTGCGACTGGAAGGGTGGTAACCGAACAGACAATCGAGTCGCTGTGCGACTCGATAACTGTTCCTTCAGCTGTATTCTACAACTGCCTCATTTCTTATTTTCTATATATTGTTGTATGTATCAAAATTGAGAAGTGAATGTGGATAGAGTGAGAGTACACACAGATATACCTAAGTGTTGTACTCTCTAAGAGGCGACCCTATACAGTCTATACAAACATGACAAATACACATGTTTGACACACCCCCTAGACTGCATAGAGGAATGCCCTAGACAAACAGCTCAGGGCGGCACTACTAGTCCAACCTCTGAGACAAGGGTCTGAGAGACCAGTCAGAAGGAGTACAAACAAGGCAAGAACAAGAGCAGGGCGGCACTACTAGTCCAGCCACTGGGAGAGGACACAAGTCCAGTCTGAGTATACGTATAAAGGACAGTACAAAGTCAAGGTCCTAGCAAGTGAGAGGCTACA